TTTTCTTTCTCTCCTTAGGCTGCATTCCAGCCCTAATGATGTCATAATGCAGAAGTTTTTCTTCAGTCATCTCATTTTACCAAAAGGATGATTTCTGTATATGTCTCTGTGTTTTATGGAGACTGTGTCTAGCTGGAGGATCTGAGAGATCAGCATAAAAAGGATGAATATCCCAAATTACACCCACAACCAAGCAGTGTAACGTAGAGAATATACTTTTCATATAAGACCTCAACGTGTTGCCTAAACCTATGAAGGATGAATATCCTAAATTACACCCACTACAAATACAACCAAGCAGTGTAACGTAGAGAATATACTTCTCATATAAGACCTCAACGTGTTGCCTAAACCTATTTGCCTAATTGGCTATTCAAAAAATGCAATTGTTTGATGATGTAGATTACAAAACATAAGATCCTATTTGTTAAAATTCTTTATCAAATAAATGGGAGGTTGCTGTTCTTTAAAATACTTGGAGAGAGAAAAATAAGATACAGGGTAAAAAAAATAATTTTGTGTCCTGCCACCGCCGCCACTGGGGACCTCTGCCATGGCCCCTGCCCGCTGTGGCTTTTTCCAGAAGGAAGGATGTCCGGAAGGACATCTGGTCTAATTAGCATATTACCCTTTTACTGTTATAGATTTAAGTATGTGAGCATCAGATTAAATCATATGGTTCCATTTAATGGACTTCAAAAAGGAGCCAGGGGCTTTATATCCCCTGGCTGGCTCTTACTTAGGTACAAATCTGGTTGGTACTTAGAACTTTCTCAGAAATTACACAGTTTAATTTTACATGGAACAGATCTCCTGGATTACCTCAGGGCACATCTGTGGTTGGTATTTTAGCACACTTTGCATTACCCTGGTTCCTTGTTCTTTTAAGTGTAAGCATAACATCTAATGCATTTCATACCTAGTAATCCATTAAAATCTCCAAATGAAGCGACGTTCAAAATAAGATGATTAATTAAACTCTGACTTATGTCTGAAACCACACACATTATGAAATAAATGCAGAGATGAAGACACTGCAGAGTGATGAAAACATGTTAAAAAAAATATCCACGTTCCATTACAAAATGGCTTCCATAATTAGGGGAAAAGCTGTACAACTTTAACCATTTGAGAGTGTTCAATTTTCTGGAGTGGTTGAAACCATATCAGTCTTCTTCATTCTTTCAGATACATCAATAATTGAGTATGACATGCAAGCTATTTTTTTTAATGGAAAACCTAAAAGACAAATATCAACATTACCATCCATTGGCAGTTATCATTACTACCTGGATTGTAGAAAAAAACAAGAATACAATCTAAATATGTTTATAAATCCTATAATGTGCTCTTATAAAATTAAAATTTTGCATGCATCTGAAATACTGCAAAAGATAGAACACATATGGGGAATTTATATTGGTCATTTTATGTCTTAAGGATGGAAAACAAAATCCACATTTATTCAAAGCCCAATTTGTTCATGAATACAAATTTCTAATTATTAAGGAGAAAGATGCATAGAATTTTTAAGAGGCTATTATAGGCCTGCTTCTTTAAATGGATTTCCTTAATACCAAGTGCACCATGTGGTTATAAACATTTCATACATGAAATAACAGCCTAAAAGAACTTAATTCATTTCCCAAAAGTCACAGGCTAAGTAGAAGATTCAAAATGGGAAATCCAAAATCTGGGTGGGTTCCCGTTATACCCTTAGATCCCATAAAAGGCAGGGGTAAGAGAAGCATTCTGGAAGCTTTGGTTGAGTAGCTTTGATACGGCCGCATGCGTTTTTTTGTAGGACTGATTATGTCTTCAAATGCGTAACCCATGGAATTCAGAGCCCAACCTATTTCAGAGCAATCTCTCCGACTATCAGCTCCATGGAGGGGGAAACATGTTGGTGGTTTTTCACCTTATTTACTCCCAACTCCCTGACTGCATGAGACCACAAGACAAAGACTGACAAGGAGGGGGGCTGTTTATTTTCATGGAGAGACTGGGATGAAGCAATTGATCGTTTTTCTCCTTGTATTTTGTAGGGCACTGCAATCAAGAAAAGAGGATGAGCATTCGCTTAATTAGGATGCACCATTAATTTCACCGTCTCATGAACATCCAAGGTCTTTTGCCCCTTTTAATGAAAATGACAAGAAACTGAGTTACTTGATTGCCAATTCTCTTGGTTTCTACAGCTCTCTAAATCTCTTGCACTTCCCATTCTAAAGAAATGAACACGTTGTAGACACTGATCATGGACTTTGCCTCTGAGGACAAAATATGAATTTGAGGGCAAACGCCATTTTAAAAGACTATATAAAATGAATTTATTTCATCTTTATGGAAGGAGACCCGGCCTAAAAGTCAATTCAACAAATATTTATTGAGCATGTATTCAATGATCATTTATTGATAGTAATATTGCATATAAGAAGGACGGTTCTAAGTGTTGTAAAAATATAAAAATAAGTTACAGTCTCTATGTCCCAGTACGAGGGGCATATAAAAAAGGTCTTTTTAAGTCCATCCTACACTCTATTCACATCACCAATCAGCCTTTTATTAGAAAGAGAAACAAATTTATTAGTTGTCATCTATGGGCCAAGCACTTCTTAAGATAAGGTATGTAAATCAGATAACCTCTTGAGCCTCTAGTACCTGACAACAAAGAAAATAATAAAGCTAGAGCTGAACAATCGCTGGTGTCTCAGCCCATGATAGCACACACCCAGAAACCTAATGAGAAACATGTCACAGCCCAGAAGCGGTCCTGCTGATCCTCAGGCTGCATGAGCCTCTAAGTCAGTGGTTCTCAACCTGTGGGTCGCAACCCCTTTGGCGGTCGAACGACCCTTTCACAGGGGTCGCCTAAGACCATCCTGCATATCAGATATTTACATGACGATTCATCACAGTAGCAACATGACAGTGATGAAGTAGCAACGAAAATAATTTTATAGTTGGGTCACCACATGAGGAACTGTCTTTAAAGGGCCAGACGGTTGAGAACCACTGCTCTAAGTTATGTGAGTGGTCGGTGCCCCCTCTTAGTAGGATCAGGATCACGACACAACAGCAGTGTAACAAGGCCGGGTTTTGGCTCCCGTCCTATCCTGCCAGTCCAGTATGTGTGGACGGAAAAGCACAAGCCTTTTACTCAGTATCAGGGCCCAAGTCTAGGTCTCCCTCTGGACCAGAAGTGATTGCGTAGGCACTAGACTGTGTCCGTTTTCTCTGGGGCTCTGCCCGAGCCAGCTTCTCTTCTGGGACAACAGCTTCCCGGAGATCAGTTCTGCTCAAGTAAACACTAACCTTTACACGGAAATAATTACTAATTACTGTAGTAAACTTTGTTTTGTTCTTCAAATTTTTAAAAAATATATTTTTATTGCTTTCAGAGAGGAAAGGAGACGGAGAGAGGGATAGAAACAGCAATGATGAGCCCTAGCTGGTTTGGCTCAGTGGATAGAGCATCGGCCTGCAGACTGAAGGGTCCAGGGTTCGATTCCAGTCAAGGGCACAAGTTCAGGTTGCAGGAACAAGAGAATCATTGATTGGCTGCTTCCTGCAGGCCCCCTCCTGGGGATCAAGCCCCCAACCCAGACATGTGCCCTCACAGGGAATCGAACCTTGACCTCCTGGTTGACACTCAGCCACTGAGCAACACTAGGCAGGCTATAGTAATTTTAAGTATTTTCAATATTATTTATGATGTTCATGGACTTGATGTAGTAGAATTTCCTTTCAGGCTTCCTCTTATCATCCTAGTATTTTCCTGTAAGTCCTTTTCTATTGTTCTACTAGTATACCCTTGAATGAAAGATCTGAATGCAGTTTAAATTCCTCACCAACCTCTTTTTTCTCCCCAATGAGG